GGTGAAGTCATCACGCGGCAGCATGAAGCGGCCACGAGGGGTGCAGCACGGGCGGGTCCGTGAAGTTGTTGGCCAGTAGCAGCCGTGAACGCCTTGCCTGTGGGGCGGGGGAGCAGAGGAGAGGAGAGCATGGGAAAGAGAGCATGGGAAAGAGAGCCTGGGAAAGAGAGCCTGGAAAGAGAGCATGGGAAAGAGAGCCTGGAAAGAGAGCATGGGAAAGAGAGCCTGGGAAAGAGAGCATGGGAAAGAGAGCATGGGAAAGAGAGCATGGAAAGAGAGCCTGGGAAAGAGAGCCTGGGAAAAGAGAGCATGGGAAAGAGAGCTGGAAAGAGAGCATGGGGAAAGAGAGCCTGGGAAAGAGAGCATGGGAAAGAGAGCCTGGGAAAGAGAGCATGGGAAAGAGAGCATGGGAAAGAGAGCATGGGAAAGAGAGCCTGGGAAAGAGAGCCTGGGAAAGAGAGCCTGGGAAAGAGAGCATGGGAAAGAGAGCCTGGGAAAGAGAGCATGGGAAAGAGAGCCTGGGAAAGAGAGCCTGGGAAAGAGAGCATGGGAAAGAGAGCATGGGAAAGAGAGCCTGGGAAAGAGAGCATGGGAAAGAGAGCCTGGGAAAGAGAGCATGGGAAAGAGAGCATGGGAAAGAGAGCCTGGGAAAGAGAGCCTGGAAAGAGAGCCTGGGAAAGAGAGCCTGGGAAAGAGAGCATGGGAAAGAGAGCATGGGAAAGAGAGCCTGGGAAAGAGAGCCTGGGAAAGAGAGCATGGAAAGAGAGCCTGGGAAAGAGAGCATGGGAAAGAGAGCATGGGAAAGAGAGCCTTTGAAAGAGAGCATGGGAAAGAGAGCCTGCGAAAGAGAGCATGGGAAAGAGAGCCTGGGAAAGAGAGCATGGGAAAGAGAGCATGGGAAAGAGAGCATGGGAAAGAGAGCATGGAAAGAGAGCCTGGGAAGAGAGCCTGGGAAAGAGAGCCTGGGAAAGAGGGCATGGGAAAGAGAGCCTGGAAAGAGAGCCTGGGAAAGAGAGCCTGGGAAAGAGAGCCTGGGAAAGAGAGCATGGAAAGAGAGCCTGGGAAAGAGAGCATGGGAAAGAGAGCATGGGAAAGAGAGCCTTTGAAAGAGAGCATGGGAAAGAGAGCCTGCGAAAGAGAGCATGGGAAAGAGAGCCTGGAAAGAGAGCCTGGGAAGAGAGCCTGGGAAAGAGAGCATGGGAAAGAGAGCATGGGAAAGAGAGCCTGGGAAAGAGAGCATGGGAAAGAGGGCATGGGAAAGAGAGCCTGGGAAAGAGAGCCTGGGAAAGAGAGCCTGGGAAAGAGAGCCTGGGAAAGAGAGCCTGGGAAAGAGAGCATGGGAAAGAGAGCCTGGGAAAGAGAGCATGGGAAAGAGAGCCTGGGAAAGAGGGCATGGGAAAGAGAGCATGGGAAAGAGAGCCTGGGAAAGAGGGCATGGGAAAGAGAGCATGGGAAAGAGAGCCTGGGAAAGAGAGCCTGGGAAAGAGAGCCTGGGAAAGAGGGCATGGGAAAGAGAGCCGGGGAAAGAGAGCCTGGGAAAGAGAGCATGGGAAAGAGAGCCTGGGAAAGAGGGCATGGGAAAGAGAGCCTGGGAAAGAGATCCTGGGAAAGAGAGCCTGGGAAAGAGAGCCTGGGAAAGAGAGCATGGGAAAGAGAGCCGGGAAAGAGAGCCTGGGAAAGAGAGCATGGGAAAGAGAGCCTGGGAAAGAGAGCCTGGGAAAGAGAGCATGGGAAAGAGAGCATGGGAAGAGAGCCTGGGAAAGAGGGCATGGGAAAGAGAGCCTGGGAAAGAGAGCATGGGAAAGAGAGCATGGGAAAGAGAGCCTGGGAAAGAGAGCCTGGGAAAGAGAGCATGGGAAAGAGAGCCTGGGAAAGAGAGCCTGGGAAAGAGGGCATGGGAAAGAGAGCATGGGAAAGAGAGCATGGGAAAGAGAGCATGGGAAAGAGAGCATGGGAAAGAGAGCCTGGGAAAGAGAGCATGGGAAAGATAGCCTGGGAAAGAGAGCCTGGGAAAGAGAGCATGGGAAAGAGAGCATGGGAAAGAGAGCATGGGAAAGAGAGCATGGGAAAGAGAGCATGGGAAAGAGAGTCTGGGAAAGAGAGCATGGGAAAGAGAGCATGGGAAAGAGAGCATGGGAAAGAGAGCCTGGGAAAGAGAGCATGGGAAAGATAGCCTGGGAAAGAGAGCATGGGAAAGAGAGCATGGGAAAGAGAGCATGGGAAAGAGAGCATGGGAAAGAGAGCCTGGAAAGAGAGCATGGGAAAGAGAGCATGGGAAAGAGAGCATGGGAAAGAGAGCATGGGAAAGAGAGCATGGGAAAGAGAGCCTGGGAAAGAGAGCATGGGAAAGAGAGCCTGGGAAAGAGAGCATGGGAAAGAGAGCATGGGAAAGAGAGCATGGGAAAGAGAGCATGGGAAAGAGAGCATGGGAAAGAGAGCCTGGGAAAGAGAGCATGGGAAAGAGAGCATGGGAAAGAGAGCATGGGAAAGAGAGCCTGGGAAAGAGAGCCTGGGAAAGAGAGCCTGGGAAAGAGAGCTGGGAAAGAGAGCCTGGGAAAGAGAGCCTGGGAAGAGAGCATGGGAAAGAGAGTCTGGGAAAGAGAGCATGGGAAAGAGAGCCTGGGAAAGAGAGCATGGGAAAGAGAGCATGGGAAAGAGAGCCTTTGAAAGAGAGCATGGGAAAGAGAGCCTGCGAAAGAGAGCATGGGAAAGAGAGCCTGGGAAAGAGAGCATGGGAAAGAGAGCATGGGAAAGAGAGCATGGGAAAGAGAGCCTTTGAAAGAGAGCATGGGAAAGAGAGCCTGCGAAAGAGAGCATGGGAAAGAGAGCCTGGGAAAGAGAGCATGGGAAAGAGAGCATGGGAAAGAGAGCCTGGGAAAGAGAGCATGGGAAAGAGAGCCTGGGAAAGAGAGCCTGGGAAAGAGAGCATGGGAAAGAGAGCATGGGAAAGAGAGCCTGGGAAAGAGAGCATGGAAAGAGAGCCTGGGAAAGAGAGCCTGGGAAAGAGAGCCTGGGAAAGAGAGCCTGGGAAAGAGAGCCTGGGAAAGAGAGCCTGGGAAAGAGAGCTGGGAAAGAGAGCCTGGGAAAGAGAGCTGGGAAAGAGAGCATGGGAAAGAGATCATGGAAAGAGAGCCTGGGAAAGAGAGCATGGGAAAGAGAGCATGGGAAAGAGAGCCTGGGAAAGAGGGCATGGGAAAGAGAGCCTGGGAAAGAGAGCCTGGGAAAGAGAGCATGGGAAAGAGAGCATGGAAAGAGAGCATGGGAAAGAGAGCATGGGAAAGAGAGCATGGGAAAGAGAGTCTGGGAAAGAGAGCATGGGAAAGAGAGCATGGGAAAGAGAGCATGGGAAAGAGAGCCTGGGAAAGAGAGCATGGGAAAGAGAGTCTGGGAAAGAGAGCATGGGAAAGAGAGCATGGGAAAGAGAGCATGGGAAAGAGAGCATGGGAAAGAGAGCCTGGGAAAGAGAGCATGGGAAAGAGAGCCTGGGAAAGAGAGCCTGGGAAAGAGAGCATGGGAAAGAGAGCATGGGAAAGAGAGCCTGGGAAAGAGAGTCTGGGAAAGAGAGCATGGAAAGAGAGCATGGGAAAGAGAGCATGGGAAAGAGAGCCTGGGAAAGAGAGCATGGGAAAGAGAGCATGGGAAAGAGAGCATGGGAAAGAGAGCATGGGAAAGAGAGCATGGGAAAGAGAGCATGGGAAAGAGAGCATGGGAAAGAGAGCATGGGAAAGAGAGCATGGGAAAGAGAGCATGGGAAAGAGAGCATGGGAAAGAGAGCCTGGGAAAGAGAGCCTGGGAAAGAGAGCCTGGGAAAGAGAGTCTGGGAAAGAGAGCCTGGGAAAGAGAGCATGGGAAAGAGAGCATGGGAAAGAGAGCCTGGGAAAGAGAGCATGGGAAAGAGAGCATGGGAAAGAGAGCATGGGAAAGAGAGCATGGGAAAGAGAGCATGGGAAAGAGAGCATGGGAAAGAGAGCATGGGAAAGAGAGCATGGGAAAGAGAGCATGGGAAAGAGAGCATGGGAAAGAGAGCATGGGAAAGAGAGCCTGGGAAAGAGAGCCTGGGAAAGAGAGCCTGGGAAAGAGAGCCTGGGAAAGAGAGCCTGGGAAAGAGAGCCTGGGAAAGAGAGCCTGGGAAAGAGAGCCTGGGAAAGAGAGCCTGGGAAAGAGAGCTCGGAAAGAGAGCATGGGAAAGAGAGTCTGGGAAAGAGAGCATGGGAAAGAGAGCCTGGGAAAGAGAGCATGGGAAAGAGAGCATGGGAAAGAGAGCCTTGAAAGAGAGCATGGGAAAGAGAGCCTGCGAAAGAGAGCATGGGAAAGAGAGCTGGGAAAGAGAGCATGGGAAAGAGAGCATGGGAAAGAGAGCATGGGAAAGAGAGCCTTTGAAAGAGAGCATGGGAAAGAGAGCCTGCGAAAGAGAGCATGGGAAAGAGAGCCTGGGAAAGAGAGCATGGGAAAGAGAGCATGGGAAAGAGAGCCTGCGAAAGAGAGCATGGGAAAGAGAGCCTGGGAAAGAGAGCCTGGGAAAGAGAGCATGGGAAAGAGAGCACGGGAAAGAGAGCCTGGGAAAGAGAGCATGGGAAAGAGAGCATGGGAAAGAGAGCCTTTGAAAGAGAGCATGGGAAAGAGAGCCTGCGAAAGAGAGCATGGGAAAGAGAGCCTGGGAAAGAGAGCCTGGGAAAGAGAGCCTGGGAAAGAGAGCATGGGAAAGAGAGCATGGGAAAGAGAGCCTGGGAAAGAGAGCCTGGAAAGAGGGCATGGGAAAGAGAGCCTGGGAAAGAGAGCCTGGGAAAGAGAGCCTGGGAAAGAGAGCCTGGGAAAGAGAGCCTGGGAAAGAGAGCATGGGAAAGAGAGCCTGGGAAAGAGAGCCTGGGAAAGAGAGCATGGGAAAGAGAGCCTGGGAAAGAGGGCATGGGAAAGAGAGCATGGGAAAGAGAGCCTGGGAAAGAGAGGCATGGGAAAGAGAGCATGGGAAAGAGAGCCTGGGAAAGAGAGCCTGGGAAAGAGAGCCTGGGAAAGAGGCATGGGAAAGAGAGCCGGGAAAGAGAGCCTGGGAAAGAGAGCATGGGAAAGAGAGCCTGGGAAAGAGGGCATGGGAAAGAGAGCCTGGGAAAGAGAGCCTGGGAAAGAGAGCCTGGGAAAGAGAGCCTGGGAAAGAGAGCATGGGAAAGAGAGCCTGGGAAAGAGAGCCTGGGAAAGAGAGCATGGGAAAGAGAGCCTGGGAAAGAGAGCCTGGGAAAGAGAGCATGGGAAAGAGAGCATGGGAAAGAGAGCCTGGGAAAGAGGGCATGGGAAAGAGAGCCTGGGAAAGAGAGCATGGGAAAGAGAGCATGGGAAAGAGAGCCTGGGAAAGAGAGCCTGGGAAAGAGAGCATGGGAAAGAGAGCTGGGAAAGAGAGCCTGGGAAAGAGAGCCTGGGAAAGAGGGCATGGGAAAGAGAGCATGGGAAAGAGAGCATGGGAAAGAGAGCATGGGAAAGAGAGCATGGGAAAGAGAGCATGGGAAAGAGAGCATGGGAAAGAGAGCATGGGAAAGAGAGCCTGGGAAAGAGGGCATGGGAAAGAGAGCCTGGGAAAGAGAGCCTGGGAAAGAGAGCATGGGAAAGAGAGCATGGGAAAGAGAGCCTGGAAAGAGAGCATGGGAAAGAGAGCATGGGAAAGAGAGCATGGGAAAGAGAGCATGGGAAAGAGAGCCTGGGAAAGAGAGTCTGGGAAAGAGAGCATGGGAAAGAGAGCATGGGAAAGAGAGCATGGGAAAGAGAGCATGGGAAAGAGAGCATGGGAAAGAGAGCATGGGAAAGAGAGCATGGGAAAGAGAGCATGGGAAAGAGAGCCTGGGAAAGAGAGCATGGGAAAGAGAGCCTGGGAAAGAGAGCCTGGGAAAGAGAGCATGGGAAAGAGAGCATGGGAAAGAGAGCATGGGAAAGAGAGCATGGGAAAGAGAGCATGGGAAAGAGAGTCTGGGAAAGAGAGCATGGGAAAGAGAGCATGGGAAAGAGAGCATGGGAAAGAGAGCATGGGAAAGAGAGCATGGGAAAGAGAGCCTGGGAAAGAGAGCATGGGAAAGAGAGCATGGGAAAGAGAGCATGGGAAAGAGAGCCTGGGAAAGAGAGCATGGGAAAGAGAGCATGGGAAAGAGAGCCTGGGAAAGAGGGCATGGGAAAGAGAGCATGGGAAAGAGAGCATGGGAAAGAGAGCATGGGAAAGAGAGCATGGGAAAGAGAGCATGGGAAAGAGAGCATGGGAAAGAGAGCATGGGAAAGAGAGCATGGGAAAGAGAGCATGGGAAAGAGAGCATGGGAAAGAGAGCATGGGAAAGAGAGCATGGGAAAGAGAGCATGGGAAAGAGAGCCTGGGAAAGAGAGCATGGGAAAGAGAGCATGGGAAAGAGAGCATGGGAAAGAGAGCATGGGAAAGAGAGCATGGGAAAGAGAGCATGGGAAAGAGAGCCTGGAAAGAGAGCATGGGAAAGATAGCCTGGGAAAGAGAGCCTGGGAAAGAGAGCATGGGAAAGAGAGCATGGGAAAGAGAGCATGGGAAAGAGAGCATGGGAAAGAGAGCATGGGAAAGAGAGTCTGGGAAAGAGAGCATGGGAAAGAGAGCATGGGAAAGAGAGCATGGGAAAGAGAGCATGGGAAAGAGAGCATGGGAAAGAGAGCCTGGGAAAGAGAGCATGGGAAAGAGAGCATGGGAAAGAGAGCATGGGAAAGAGAGCCTGGGAAAGAGAGCATGGGAAAGAGAGCATGGGAAAGAGAGCATGGGAAAGAGAGCATGGGAAAGAGAGCATGGGAAAGAGAGCATGGGAAAGAGAGCATGGGAAAGAGAGCATGGGAAAGAGAGCATGGGAAAGAGAGCCTGGGAAAGAGAGCCTGGGAAAGAGAGCCTGGGAAAGAGAGCCTGGGAAAGAGAGCCTGGGAAAGAGAGCCTGGGAAAGAGAGCCTGGGAAAGAGAGCCTGGGAAAGAGAGCCTGGAAAGAGAGCCTGGGAAAGAGAGCATGGGAAAGAGAGCCTGGGAAAGAGAGCATGGGAAAGAGAGCCTGGGAAAGAGAGTCTGGGAAAGAGAGCATGGGAAAGAGAGCCTGGGAAAGAGAGCCTGGGAAAGAGAGCATGGGAAAGAGAGCCTGGGAAAGAGAGCCTGGGAAAGAGAGCATGGGAAAGAGAGCATGGGAAAGAGAGCCTGGGAAAGAGAGCATGGGAAAGAGAGCATGGGAAAGAGAGCCTGGGAAAGAGGGCATGGGAAAGAGAGCATGGGAAAGAGAGCATGGGAAAGAGAGCATGGGAAAGAGAGCATGGGAAAGAGAGCATGGGAAAGAGAGCATGGGAAAGAGAGCCTGGGAAAGAGAGCCTGGGAAAGAGAGCATGGGAAAGAGAGCATGGGAAAGAGAGCATGGGAAAGAGAGCATGGGAAAGAGAGCATGGGAAAGAGAGCATGGGAAAGAGAGCCTGGGAAAGAGAGCCTGGGAAAGAGAGCCTGGGAAAGAGAGCCTGGGAAAGAGAGCCTGGGAAAGAGAGCCTGGGAAAGAGAGCCTGGGAAAGAGAGCCTGGGAAAGAGAGCCTGGGAAAGAGAGCCTGGGAAAGAGAGCCTGGGAAAGAGAGCATGGGAAAGAGAGCCTGGGAAAGAGAGCATGGGAAAGAGAGCCTGGGAAAGAGAGCCTGGGAAAGAGAGCCTGGGAAAGAGAGCCTGGGAAAGAGAGCCTGGGAAAGAGAGCCTGGGAAAGAGAGCCTGGGAAAGAGAGCCTGGGAAAGAGAGCCTGGGAAAGAGAGCATGGGAAAGAGAGCATGGGAAAGAGAGCCTGGGAAAGAGAGCCTGGGAAAGAGAGCATGGGAAAGAGAGCATGGGAAAGAGAGCCTGGGAAAGAGAGCCAGGGAAAGAGAGCCTGGGAAAGAGAGCATGGGAAAGAGAGCATGGGAAAGAGAGCCTGGGAAAGAGAGTCTGGGAAAGAGAGCCTGGGAAAGAGAGCATGGGAAAGAGAGCATGGGAAAGAGAGCATGGGAAAGAGAGCCTGGGAAAGAGAGCCTGGGAAAGAGAGCCTGGGAAAGAGAGCCTGGGAAAGAGAGCATGGGAAAGAGAGCATGGGAAAGAGAGCCTGGGAAAGAGAGCCTGGGAAAGAGAGCCTGGGAAAGAGAGCCTGGGAAAGAGAGCATGGGAAAGAGAGCATGGGAAAGAGAGCCTCGGAAAGAGAGCCTGGGAAAGAGAGCATGGGAAAGAGAGCCTGGGAAAGAGAGCCTGGGAAAGAGAGCCTGGGAAAGAGAGCATGGGAAAGAGAGCATGGGAAAGAGAGCCTGGGAAAGAGAGCCTGGGAAAGAGAGCCTGGGAAAGAGAGCGTGGGAAAGAGAGCCTGGGAAAGAGAGCCTGGGAAAGAGAGCATGGGAAAGAGAGCATGGGAAAGAGAGCCTGGGAAAGAGAGCATGGGAAAGAGAGCATGGGAAAGAGAGCATGGGAAAGAGAGCCTGGGAAAGAGAGCCTGGGAAAGAGAGCCTGGGAAAGAGAGCCTGGGAAAGAGAGCATGGGAAAGAGAGCCTGGGAAAGAGAGCCTGGGAAAGAGAGCATGGGAAAGAGAGCATGGGAAAGAGAGCCTGGGAAAGAGAGCATGGGAAAGAGAGCCTGGGAAAGAGAGCCTGGGAAAGAGAGTCTGGGAAAGAGAGCATGGGAAAGAGAGCCTGGGAAAGAGAGCATGGGAAAGAGAGCATGGGAAAGAGAGCCTGGGAAAGAGAGCCTGGGAAAGAGAGCATGGGAAAGAGAGCCTGGGAAAGAGAGCCTGGGAAAGAGAGCATGGGAAAGAGAGCATGGGAAAGAGAGCCTGGGAAAGAGAGCCTGGGAAAGAGAGCATGGGAAAGAGAGCATGGGAAAGAGAGCCTGGGAAAGAGAGCCTGGGAAAGAGAGCATGGGAAAGAGAGCCTGGGAAAGAGAGCCTGGGAAAGAGAGCATGGGAAAGAGAGCATGGGAAAGAGAGCCTGGGAAAGAGAGCCTGGGAAAGAGAGCCTGGGAAAGAGAGCCTGGGAAAGAGAGCATGGGAAAGAGAGCATGGGAAAGAGAGCCTGGGAAAGAGAGCCTGGGAAAGAGAGCATGGGAAAGAGAGCCTGGGAAAGAGAGCCTGGGAAAGAGAGCCTGGGAAAGAGAGCATGGGAAAGAGAGCATGGGAAAGAGAGCCTGGGAAAGAGAGCCTGGGAAAGAGAGCCTGGGAAAGAGAGCGTGGGAAAGAGAGCCTGGGAAAGAGAGCCTGGGAAAGAGAGCATGGGAAAGAGAGCATGGGAAAGAGAGCCTGGGAAAGAGAGCCTGGGAAAGAGAGCATGGGAAAGAGAGCCTGGGAAAGAGAGCCTGGGAAAGAGAGCATGGGAAAGAGAGCATGGGAAAGAGAGCCTGGGAAAGAGAGCCTGGGAAAGAGAGCCTGGGAAAGAGAGCATTGGGAAAGAGAGCATGGGAAAAGAGAGCCTGGGAAAGAGAGCCTGGGAAAGAGAGCATGGGAAAGAGAGCGCTGGGAAAGAGAGCCTGGGAAAGAGAGCCTTGGAAAGAGAGCATGGGAAAGAGAGCATGGGAAAAGAGAGCCTGGGAAAGAGAGCCTGGGAAAGAGAGCTCTGGGGAAAGAGAGCCTGGGAAAGATGAGCATGGGAAAGAGAGCATGGGAAAAGAGAGCATGGAAAGAAAGCCTGTGGCAAGATGAGCCTGGGGAAGAGAGTCCTGGGAAAGAAGCCTGGGAAAGAGAGCATGGGAAAGAGAGCTTGGAAAGAGAGCCTGGGAAAGAGAGCATGGGAAAGAGAGCATGGGAAAAGAGAGCCTGGGAAAGAGAGGCATGGGAAAGAGAGCCCTGGGAAAGAGAGCATGGGAAAGAGAGCATGGGAAAGAGAGCATGGGAAAGAGAGCATGGGAAAGAGAGCCTGGGAAAGATGAGCATGGGAAAAGAGAGCCTGGGAAAAGAGGAGCCTGGGAAAGAGAGCATGGGAAAAGAGAGCATGGGAAAGAGAGCCTGGGAAAGAGAGCATGGGAAAGAGAGCCTGGGAAAGAGAGCCTGGGAAAGAGAATCTGGGAAAGAGAGCATGGGAAAGAGAGCATGGGAAAGAGAGCCTGGGAAAGAGAGCCTGGGAAAGAGAGCATGGGAAAGAGAGCCTGGGAAAGAGAGCATGGGAAAGAGAGCCTGGGAAAGAGAGCCTGGGAAAGAGAGCATGGGAAAGAGAGCCTGGGAAAGAGAGCCTGGGAAAGAGAGCATGGGAAAGAGAGCATGGGAAAGAGAGCATGGGAAAGAGAGCCTGGGAAAGAGAGCATGGGAAAGAGAGCCTGGGAAAGAGAGCCTGGGAAAGAGAGTCTGGGAAAGAGAGCATGGGAAAGAGAGCATGGGAAAGAGAGCATGGGAAAGAGAGCCTGGGAAAGAGAGCATGGGAAAGAGAGCATGGGAAAGAGAGCCTGGGAAAGAGAGCATGGGAAAGAGAGCCTGGGAAAGAGAGCATGGGAAAGAGAGCCTGGGAAAGAGAGCATGGGAAAGAGAGCATGGGAAAGAGAGCCTGGGAAAGAGAGCCTGGGAAAGAGAGCCTGGGAAAGAGAGCCTGGGAAAGAGAGCATGGGAAAGAGAGCCTGGGAAAGAGAGCATGTGGGAAAGAATGCACGAAAGAGTGTGGGGAAGGGTACGCACCATAGTGTATGGCAGAGAATGTGTGTGTGGAAGGAAAGGTGAGGGGCTGCAGCAGAGTCGGGTGAGTGAAGTTGTGCAGGAGCAGCGCAACGGCCGAGGCAGGTGATCACCAGGTGCGAGAGGGTGAAAGGGCGAGAGGGAATTGTAAGAAGGAGATGATGGGAATCATCGTGGGCGGGCATCATGGGCGGGCATCATGCACACACAAGCCACACACCTATGAAGTGAGCCACGTTCACGGCCTGGTAGTCAAACCGCTGCAGCAGCGTGAGCCCAAACCGCCACTCCACACGCCGCCGCGTCTCCAACCACCCCTTCCCCTCCACCCCCCCTCTCCCCCCTCTTCCCCCACTCCTCCCCCCCCTCCCCCAGCAGCGCGCAGGTGCACGAGCGAGTTGACGGCCTCATCAGTGACGACCCGCAGGGCCTCGCTGAACTCAACCGCCTTGTGGCACCCCACCGCTCGCAGGATGGGCTTGGGCTCGCTCACAGGCGGCGGTGTGTGCTCCCTCGCTGCCTCGCACTGTGGGTGGCCCAGTGAGATCATCTGCAGGGGTGGTGATGAGGGGTGATGGGTGTGCATGGAGAAGAGCAGGCGGGGAAGGGTGTGAGCGAGGGGATACAGCACGATGGGGGCACTGTGACTGGCCCAGCACGATGGGGGCACTGTCACTGGCCCACCGGGATCATCTGCAGGGGTGGTGGTGAGGGCAGTGCGGGTGCCGTTGTGTGCGCACGGTGAATCAGAGTGAGGGAGTAAAGCATAGTTAACTTGAAGACGTCTCACAATTTGAGTTTTGAATTTTGAGACGCCTCAAATGGCGATGTGTGCGCACGGCACAGTGAATGGAGTGGGGGACGAAGCGCATGGGCAAGCATAGGCCGAGGTTTGTTCTGCTAACATGGATTCGGGATTTCACTTGCACACCACCCACCCCACCTCTCGGCCGTTCCAGCACATGGGGCTGCAGAGGCAGAGGTTCTGCGAGCAGCAGTAGCTGTTGCGGGATGTGGTAGCACGAGCACCCCGTGCGCTGCTGACTCAGCGCCGCCACGTCAGCACTGGTCTCAAACGACGCGAGCAGCTCCTCAACCTGCGTGAGCAGTGGAGGTGAGCAGGGGAGTTGAAGAGGAGAATTGAAAGCAAGGCGAGAGCAGGTGAGTGGCTGCATGGATGGCGGTGTGCTGCTGTGCCCTCTAGGCACCTGGTAACGGAGCTAAAGGAATGGTGGCGTCGTGATGATCACATCACACATCAGCGTTATTCTCAAACGATGCCTGCAGTGCAGAGCGTTTGAGCCTGAGAGTTGAATAAGGCATGGTGGAGATGGCGGGCATGGCGCAGAGGGCAGCAGCAGCACACATGCGCGGGTGGGCGTGACAGTGACCTTCACTTGTAACCTGGCACGGTCCCTCGCCGCACAGGTCAAGGCAAGGGGGTAGACCGTGGTTCAGGGTGGTGTGACGGCAGCAGTGTTGCAAGCTGGGGGCTGCTGCCCGTGAGGGGCGCATGGGACAGGGGTCATGGCATGGATTGGGTGGGAGGGAGGGCAGCATGGGAGAGACGGTGGAGCGGGAAGGGGTCAAGGTGGGGGGCCTGGAAGGGGAAGGGAGGAGACGAAAGAGGAGGGAAAGAGGAGGGTGGAGGTGGGGAAGTCGAAGGGGAGGGGGAATGGGGTCGGGGGGGAAGGGGGGGAGGATGTGGCGCAGAGATGGAAGGGCGCGATGGAGGAGAGGGTGGGGAGGGGAGGGTGGGGGGGGGGGGGGGGGGGGGGGAGGCAATGCAGGTCGCAACAGACCATCGCATCCGCCAATAACCATCCGCCAATCACCATCCGCCAATCACCATCCGCCAATCACAACGCCACGTACTCGCTGCCGAAACGCGTCCTCCATCTCGGGGTGCTTCCTCGGCCGCTCGCGAATCAGCGCGCCCACCCGCGCCACGCCGTACCAGCGCGCGCACCCCGCCCCGCGCGCGCTGCCCTCATGTGGCGGACTGCTGTGGGGGATGGGCGTGGGGTGGGGGAGAAGCAACGCGAGGAGCAGAGCGCGGAGGCTGCCGACGCGCGTCGGGAGATGAGAAAGAGGGGGTATTTGATCACAGTGCGGTTCGCGGCGAGCTGGCTTGAGCTGCCAGTGTCTGTGGCGGCGCCATGGCGTCATGCTGGATGGCGTCATGCTGGATGGCGTCATGCTGGATGGCCGTTTCTGTTTCTGCAAGCGCCGTTTGAACTAGCTGTGGCGCCGATCCGTGTTTCCGGCCATGGCGCAGTGCTTTCAGATGAAAAGCCCCCGAATTTCGACGTTATACCTCAGGCATGCTTCACAAACGGATCAGTGCGTTATCATGAACTTCAACTTGTACATTTATTAAAGCAAATAACTAAATGCATACAATGTGGTTGTTTCGCTTACAGTACTTTTAGAAAACCTCATCCCCCTCTAGTTGTGTCTATCATCATGTTGTATATGGTATCGCCTGATCCCTGTACATACATGAGAATTTTATGCCCCAGATTTCACCACCAGCCTTTTCTTGAATTGTTGTAAGGGCGTGTTCCTACAGCCTCTTATCAGGCTAGAAACCCAGAACCCTTCGCAACATTGTATCAGGCAAGCCTGATAAGAGGTTTGCCAGAGAGGCGTAGGTGTCAAAACATATATGTTCTTGTATAGTTAGGCTATATTGGGGTTACCCTTAGGGGGTATTGAAACCTTCTCGACAGTTTGCTTGTACCCCCTTCCTTGACCTAACCATTCCTACCTAATCTTTACATGGTTTTAGAGCACGTAGTTCCTTAGGACCGTGTTTAGGGCCGTTTTTTCTTAGGGCCCACCTTTAGATTCTGCCCTGAGCTGCACAATAGCGCTGCCCTGCCCCGCACGATCGCGCTTGCCCCCGCGCGTGCCCTGCCGCCCCGAACTCTCGCGCTGCCCATTGCGCGCTGCCCTGCCCCCACGTTTTCGCTTGCCCCGTACCCTGCCTTACGTGCTGCCCCGAGCGCTTCCGCTGCCCCCGCGCTTCCGCCACCCCGCGCGCTGCCTCGCGTGCTGCCCCGAGCGCCTTCGCTGCCCCCGCGCGCTGCTCGCCCGTGCTGCCCGCACGCTACCCAGGGCGCGCTGCCCTGCTCTGCCCTGCCCTGCCAAGCTGCTGCCCGCGCTGCCCTGCGCTGTCGCCTGCAGCCGCCCGCACAGCCGCGCGCTTCTGCGCTGCCCCCGTGCTGCCGCCAGCGCAACTGCCTGCTCTGCCCCGCCTTTGCTGCTGCTCACGCTGCACAGCGCAGCCGCCCAAGCTGCTGCCCGCACTGCTGCGTTGCTGCGCTGCCACCCAGCACTGCCGCCCAAGCTGCCGCCTGCTGCTGCTGCATTGCCGCCACTTCTGCAGCTACAGCCACTGCAGCCGCTGCTACTGCCCCTACAGCTGCTGCAGCCGCCATTGCTGCCGCTGCTGCAGCCGCCTTTGCCGCTACTGCCGCTACCGCTACTGCTGCAGCCGCCCTTGCCACTGCAGCCGCCATTGCTGCCGTTGCTGCAGCCGCCATTGCTGCCGCTGCTGCCAGTGCTGCATCCACCCTTGCCGGTACAGCTGCCGCTGCCGCTGCCACTACAGTGCCGCTGCCGTACTGCTACTGCCGCTTCCGCTGCTGCCACTGCTTCTACATCCGCTATTGCCTGAGCATTTCTGCAGCTCGTGCTGCCTGCCATGGCAAACTTCCACTGTACTGACCTTTGACGCGGAGGGCCGCCCGATCGAGTATGAGTCCTGGCCTAGAGGACCTCCCACCTGTACCTGCAGCGTTACTAGAGACGATGTCTTGTTGTTTGAGCACACGTTTGGGTCACTCCCCTGCCTTACAGGAGCCGACTGACCCTAGTCCTTCCGGTGATCTGACTCTGCGACACCAGTTTAAGACTGAAGCTCGTTCACAGTGGCTTTCGCGTGACGATACCGCCCAGCTATCTGTCCGTAGTCACCTCCCGCTAGACCAGAGGCCCCACTTCCGCCAGCTTGAAGACGGCCAAAGCACTCTATGACGATGTATTTAAGCGTTACTTCTCACCGTCTTTGCCACTATAGGCCGTCGTGCGCTGCCGTTCCTCTTCCCTGAGCTGTCATACTTCACCACTGTAGCCGACCTCGTGACTCACCTGCGCTCCCTTGAAACGCGCTACCGTGCTGCTCTCAAGCTAGCCTTTCTGGCAAAGAACCAACCCCCCCATGTATCTTACCTCTCTACTTCCTTACGACTCGCCTCCCCCGACTCTCTTAGCTATGTTCGCGACCACTTCCTCTCCCTAGACCCTACCGAGCTCACCCTTGCCTCTTTTGAGACTCGTCTCCTCGTTTGAGACTCGTCTCCTCGAGGCTGAGATTAGTGACGTCGCTGTAGCTACCTCTCGTGGCACTCCACGATTCTCCTTCTTTGAGGGGTGTTCTCCTTCCCTCCTAGCGCCTTCTGTTGCCTCTGCTGCTGTTGTTGACTTCCTCGGTGCTGAGGAGGCCGGTGCGGCGTCCACTCCTAGCGGGAGGCGCAGCGCTAGACCAGGTAGTGCAGAGGCTACTAGTGTATGTGCTTGTGAGACTGCTAGCACACGTGCAGCTCTTGCGGAGGCGTTGCACACTTTCACACTGGACTCTGGCGCGTCTAGGTGCTTCTTCCGCAACTGCACCACACTCACACCGCTCACGACACCTCTCCCTGTCACTCTGGCCGACCCCTCTGGTGGCCCAGTCGTTGCACGCAGTTCCGCTGTTCTCCCGTGTCCGGCAGCCCCCCTCTGACTCCCTCACGCGTTTCCGCCTCCCCTCGTTCGCTATGAACTTGGTGAGTCAGGCTGTCCTCCAGGATCAGTTGGTCACTATCACTACTCCTGGGGGCGAGCTCGTGGCGATCTGTACAGACTCGGTGACTGGCTACCACCTCACCACGTTCACCCGGAGGCCTGGGTCTGGCCTGTACACACTGCACACTGAGTCTGCACAGGTGGCTGCGTCCCCGTCAGGTAGATGCGTCGTGCTCGTGTCGGTTACTCACGCACCCGTCCCTCCTCTGGCACCACCAGTTGGTCACCCCTCCCTGCTGCGCCTCCGTAGCATGCACTCGCGTCTCATTGTCTCTGACTTCCCCAGGTCCCTGCCCCACCCCCCCGGTCGCTTGCGCCGCCGTGCACTCCCTGCGTCGAGGGGCGGCAGCGCGCCGCTCCTCACTCCTCCTCGTTTCCTCCGACCACTGCTCCTCTGCAGACGCTGCACATGGACGTGTGGGCCCCCGCCCCTGTCTCTAGGCCAGGCCGGGAGCGCTACTTTCTGCTGGTCATTGACGACTTCACGCGCTACACCACGGTTTTTCCATTGCAATGCAAGGCGGATGTGTGTCGTCGTCTTAATCCCTTGGATCAGCGCTGTTCGTCTCCAGCAGAGCGCACAGTTCTGGCAAAACCTTCCGGTGTTTGCGGCTGCACTCTGACCGAGGTGGTGAGTTCTCCTCCCGCCTCCTCGAGGACCTTTTGTCGCGAGGAGGGCATTACCTAGTCGTTCACACTTCCGGGCCTCTCCATAGCAGAATGGGATTGCTGAGCGCCGCATTGGCTTGATCACGGAGGCTGCTCGCACCTCCATGATCCATTGCGGCTGCTCCCCACTTTCTGTGGCCGTTTGAGGTCCGTTTCGCCGCGCATCAGCTCAACCTCTGGCCCGGTGTCTCCCAGCCAGAGACCTCGCCCTACCCTGCTTTGGACGGGGAGGTTGGCGCTGTGTCGGCGTTACGGGTCTGGGGTTTGCTTGCCCTTGTCCGCGATCCTCCCTCGGGCAAGCTCTCTCCCTGCACGCTCGCTGGGTCTTCCTTGGTATTCCCACCGACGCCCCCACCCTGGCAGTCTTACCACCCAGCCACGCACCGCTTCTGTCCCCTCCGGCGGCATCACCTTTTGACGAGTCGGTTTGCTACTACCGTTGCTTCCCCCCACCGTAGTTCCCGGGTGTGCCCCCCCCAGCCCCCTCTTCCTCGTTCCAGGTTACCCCCCGCTAGACCCCGCCCCCCCCTCGCTGCGGTCCTGCTCCCTCAGGTATGTCTCAGGTCTGTGGAGGTCTCCTCAGACCACGCTGGCACGGCTGAGGGGGGTGAATCTCTGCTGCTGACGACACCGCGGCCTCTCGCCGGTCACCGCGCTTGGAGACCCCATCCTGGTTTTCCGCCTCGGCCGCCTTCGCCACCTCTGACAGCCTGACCCTGTGGACTCCGGTGCTACTAGGGGTGGTGACTCTAGAGGTGACAGCTTTGGGGGTGCTGACTCAGGGCGGTGCTGGTTCGTTGGGGGTGCTGAGAGTCCTAGTGGTGGTGGGGTTTGAGGGTGCTCCCTGGCTGGAGGTTCTGCGGGGTGCACTGTCAAGCTTTATTTGTTATAGCTTCTATTGTTAGTCTAGGTGTACTTTCTGCTTGTTAGGGTTAGGGTAAGTTTCATATATACTTGTTGTATTTTCCCCTTCTAGTCATTCATTCTCATATCTCAACATGGTATAGAGCTAGGTTTCCCTAGCTAGGGTTTCCCCCTAGCGTTTCACTCTCGATAGATTAAGGGCCCACCAAAATCGCTAGCGCGCGCCCCGTACGAAACACGCGCCCCGTCCTAACGCGCACCTCGTAGCTAGTCGTCCGTCGCCCGTAGCGCGCCCGTCGTCAGTACCCACCCCGGTCGCCCGTAGCATTCCCGTCGCCCGTCAAAATTTCCCCTCCCGTCCGCCCGTCTCATTTCCCGCACGCGCCTCCGCACGTCGCCCGTCGAACGACCGTAGGAAGCGGGCCCCGCGGCCCTTTTTTCGTTAGCAGGCCCCGCGGCCCTGTCGGTAGCGAGCCACGCGGCCCGTAATCGACGGCCCCGTGGCCCGCGCTAGCTGGCCCCGTGGCCCCCACGCGTTCCCCTTCGTTTCCGCCTGTACCCCGCCGCTTTCCCGCCCGTACCCTGTCTGCCGCGGCTCACCTACCGCCCTATCCCGCCTCTCTCTAGCTTAGTCCGCGGCAGTAAACCCTAACAGCCCGCCTCAGCCGCTCCAAACCACTTTAACCGCATTTCAACCGCACCAGATCCGCCTCTCACCCGCACTAGACTACTTCCAGCCGCGAGAAACCGCCTTTCACCGCCACTAGACCACTCTCAACCGCCCGAAAACCGCTCCCACCAAACTCAACCCGTCCCAACCGCCCTTCACCGCACTCAACCGCACCAGATCGCTCCCCACCGCTCTAGACCTCTCTCAACCGCACCAGAACCGCACTCAACCGTGCCAGGCTGCTATTAGCCGCCCTCGTCCGTCCCTAACCTCACCTGACCGCATAGAGGGCCTCTCTCGCCCTAGGCACCTCCCACTTCTATGACGATTGTCCTGGAGTTTTGACCCAGAGGGACGCCCTATCGGTTTCCCGGCATGGCTGCGGAAGCTCAAGCTCTACCGCGGCAGCTGTCTCGAGAATGATATCCCTCTTTTCGAGCATGCCGCTGGTGAGCTGAAAGCCCCCCCCACTCCGCTCTGCTCTTGGTGACGATGCGTCAGCAGATGACCATGATGCCTATGCCCAGCGTCGCACTCAGCTTAGGCGCTGGGCCTGCGCCGTGGACAATGCCACCATCCTCGCTATCATGCCCTGCTGCCGCCTGACCGAGGCCGGAACTCTTTGCCAAAGGAGGAGACGGCCCAACGCACTGATGAATAGCAGTCTATCACTCGCTATTCCACCCCCGTTCACTGTGACTCTAGAACGCCACATCCTCCCCTTTCTCTTTTCCGATCTCCCGTCGTTCACTAGGGTGGCGACCTGATTATGCACTTGCGTTCTCTTGATGCTCAGTTCAGTGCTGCGTTTGTTGACCCTGCCTTGCTCGCCAAGAACCCCCTCCTCCCCCCCCCCACTCCCCTCATGTACATGACCCTGTACCTTCTCTCCTCCCGTCTCCCTGACCGATTCAAAACCGCTCGTTATCATTTTCTCACCGTTGATCCACCGACCCTCACCATTGAGCTCTTTGAGGAGAAGCTCCTTGCAGTAGAGGGTCCTGCTCGGTCCCTTGCTGCCACTACTGGTACCGTCCTCCCCCCTATCTTTGAGGGGTGTGCCCCGTGGCCCCCTACCTCCTCTGTGACCTCTGCCTCTGTTGCTACTGCAACAGAGGTGGCGGCCGTTGCCTCTGGCAACAAGGGGGGCAAGAAGGGCGGCAAGAAAGGAGAAGGTGGTGGTGGCGGTGGGAGTGGCGGTGCGGGTGGTGGTGGAGGAGGTGGAGGAAGTGGAGGAGGTGGAGGGAGTGGAGGAGGTGGCGTTTTCGGTGGTAGTGGAGGTGGGGAAACTGGCTCGCGGAGTGTAGAGCCCCAGCAGCAGCAGCAGCAGCAGCAGCAGCAGCAGCAGCAGCAGCAGCAGCAGCAGAGCAGCAGCAGCAGCAGCAGCAGCAGCAGCAGCAGCAGCAGCAGCAGCAGCAGCAGCAGCAGCAGCAGCAGCAGCAGCAGCAGCAGCAGCAGCAGCAGCAGCAGCAGCAGCAGCAGCAGCAGCAGCAGCAGCAGCAGCAGCAGCAGCAACAGCAGCAGCAGCAGCAGCCGCAGTAGCAGCAGCAGCAGCAGTAGCAGCAGCCACAGCAGCAGCAGCAGCCACGGCAGCAGCTGCTCCAGGGCCAGCAGCAGCAGGTCCAGCAGTGGCCCCTGCAGCAGCAGTGGAGGTCGGCCGGACCAGGGAGCACTGCACGTAGCAGTGGCAAGTCCAGCTGGTCGTCGCGTGGTCCAGCCTTGACTCCCTGCCAGTACTGGGTTCAGACTGGGTCAAGTCGAGACAACCCCTGTGGCCGCCTCCACCCTCCGGGTCAGTGCTTTGCGCAGCTTACGGACCGCTACCGCGCACACTTCGGCCTTGGTCGCACTCCCCCCGACTGGCGCTCGCTGGCGCACACCGTTGGTCCGCAGTTGTTTGACATGACTGCAGTAGACTTAGACCATGCTTTGCGATATGCCTCTGTGATGTATGCTCATGACTCTAGTGCTGCGTATTCTGGTTATTACTCTTGTTTGTCTAGCTTAGGTGCTGTGGAGGTTGCTACTGCTTTCCCTGCTAGCCGTAGCTTACACAGGTTCGACCACCTCTGTCGTTTACACTCGACTCTGGGGCGTCCAGCTGTTTCTTTCGCGACTGCACAGACCTCACACCACTACGCACTCCTGTCTGTGTCGCCCTAGCTGACTCCACAGCGGGGACCAGTGCTTGCTCACAGCACCACCACCCGCCCGTGTCCGGCGGCTCTACTATGGGGTTTATCACGGATTACTACACCCCCCGTTCTCCAGGAACTTGGTGGGTGTCAGTCACCTGCACGTCTCGGAGTAGTCACTACTTTCCCACTTGGTCGAGCCTGTCGCCTCTTGCACAGTTGGTGTCACTGGGGCGCCTCTGGCCACTTTCCACAGGGAGCCAGGCTCTGGTCTGTAGTCAGGGTCTCACCACACTGGGTCAGGTCAGGTCAGGTCAGGTCAGGTCAGGTCAGGTAGCTGCTGTGTCGTGCGACTGTCGGTCACTCACCCACCCGTCGGTCCACTGGCACCACCGTCTAGGTCACCCGTCGTTCCCACGTCTTAGTAGGATGGTACGTCACCCGTCTGGTCTCAGGTCTCCCAGAGTCGCTTGCACCACTTCCCCGCTCGCTCTGCGCCGCCGTGCACTCCTTGCTCTGGGGGTGCTGGAGCCGGAGACACGGCCACTACGACGCCTACACCGCGCACTGTACGTTTCCTGACTCGTGTGCAGCGTCTAGACCGGTTGGAGAGGGAGAAGCGGGAGAGTTTTGAAAGGGCGCAGCACCAGCAACAGCAGCAGCAGCAGCAGCAGCAGCAGCAGCGGCAGTAGCAGCAGCAGCATCGAGCAGCAGCAGCAGTGGCAGGAACAGTCTGAGTCGCTGCGTCAGGAGAGGGTAGAGGAGGAGCTACCAGCAGGAGAGAGTAGAGGAGGAGTCACGACCGCACCAGGAGAGGGTAGAGCAGGAGTCCCGTCCGCAGCAGGAGGTGTAGTTGCAGCCACACCAGGAGAGAGTAGAGGAGGAGTCACAGCCGCAGCAGGAGTGGGTAGAGCAAGAGTCCCGAGCGCAGACAGCAGGTGCAGCTGCAGGTGCAGGCAGGAGAGGGCAGAGGAGGAGCCACAGGAGCAGCAGCAGGGGCAGGTGCCGTTGCAGCAGACACCAGAGGAGGCAGAGCAGTAGTAGCGACTCCGTGACCTTCCCGACCCAGCACCTACTACGCTTGGTTCGTGGTCCCCTACCGTCCCCTTCTGTTCCCCATGACCAGTCCCTTTCCTCGTCCCCGTGGGCTCGTCGTGTCCCCTCAGTCGTGCTGTGTTCCTAGAGCCCCATCGTCTCGTTACCGTGCATACGGCCCGTTTCCACCTTGTTCTTCCGCTCTCATGTTCCACCTCCCCCGGTCCTTCCACAGCCTCCAAAGTCGTCCCTCACTGTGCTCACGACCCGTTGTCCGACTACCTCCGTGCCTCCTGTCCTGTCGTCTCTCGTGTTCTGTCCGCGTTGCTGCTCAGTCACCCGAGTGCCCCTCCGTTGTATGTCTCAGCTATTGTTACCACTGTCACTTCGCTTTGCCTCTTACCACCGCCTTGACTACGCCGCTCACTTGGTGAGTGGCCATGCTCGTTCTACGTCCTCTGGGGGTGCTCCTGTCTTTCCCTTGGAGGTCCTCGAGGACAGGCAGTTCGAGCTTGGTTTCCCTAGCTGCCACTGTTCCTCATTCTCTGCGCCATGCTGCTTGCCCCTGAGGGGGATCCAGATGCCCTTGACATCCGATCCCTCGCATTCATGCCGAGGCGGTCTCCGGACCCTGGGCTTCGTACCGGATAGCAGCAGAGGAGGAAGAGGTGGCCTCTTATAGGTCCACAGCACCTACGTCGACGCCGTCCAACCAATTGGGACGAATGTTGTCAGTGGCATGTGGCTCTACGAGATAAAGCGGCCACCTGGGATCACCACCGGCGCGCTATGTGGCGAGAGGCTTCAGTCAGCGCGAGGGGGTAGACTTCTTCCAAACCTTCGCTCCACACCCGAAGATGACCACTCTTCGGGTGTTGCTGCACTTGCAAGCCCAGCGCGACTACGAGTTACCCTCCTTGGACTTCTCCACAGCGTTCCTTCAGAGGAGCCTGCACGAGCAGATCTGACTGCGTCGTCCGCCTGGCTTCACTGGCTCTTTCCCTCCTCGAACCCAGTGGCAGTTGCGTCGACCGGTGTATGGTCTGCGCCAGGCTCCCCGTGAGTGCCCACGACACACTTCACACGACTCTTGCATCGCTTGACTTCTTTCCTGTTGTCTTGCTAAACCGTCGCTGTTCGTCCACCGTGGCTTGACCCCGTTTTTTGTTTTGGTTTACGTTGATGACCTGGTCTTTGCCACTCCCGACCGATGCGCACTGGCCTTCGTGAAGGAGGAACTGCAGAGGAGACACACTTGCACTGACCTTGGTGAGCTGCAGCGCTACCTTGGCCTGCAGATCACCAGAGACAGGGCAGCTCGCACCATTACGCTGACGCAGTCGCATATGGTCGAGTAGATCCTCATGCGGTTTTGCTTCCCGTTCTCCATGGTACAGCTCACCCCTCTTGCTGTGGATCATGGACTAACGGATCCACCTTTGAACGAGCCATTTGAGTCCAGCGGTCCATATCCTGAGCTGGTGGGTTGTCTCATGTACCTGATGACCTGTACTCGCCCACACCTAGCTTACCCTCTTAGCGTCCTTGCGTGCTTTGTTGCGCCTGGAAGACATTGGCCTTCCCACTGGTACGCTGCTAAGAGGGTGGCGAAGTATGTGGCGAGTACATCAGGCATGGGACTTGCCCTTGGAGGGAAGCAGCCAGTTACACTTACAGGTTTCTCGGACTCGTCGTGGACCAACGACGCTGAGTCTCTGCGGTTACACAGGGTTACTTGCTTCAGCTTTTGGGACTTGGTGCTGTCTCGTCGTGGGGGTCGACTCGGGCGTCGTCAGTCTCCAGTTCCAGCTGTGAGGCAGAGGTGTACGTTGCGGCCATGGCTGCCCCAGGAGCTTTCGCTGGCTGTCTTTCCTACTCCACTCGACCTTGGTGAGCGGCCTCGCTCTCCCCCCCAGTCTTGTTCGCCGACCAACAGGTTTTGCTGTACTGTTGTGCGAGGAGCCGCGACTGGTTGGGAAGGCGAAGCACATCCAGCTTCGTACTTCCTTCTGCGCGAGTTGCAACAGCGTGGCCATGCCCGCGTGGTACGTGTGGTCTCTGAGGCCAACACTGCAGATATCTTCAACGAACGCAGCAGCGAATGCAGCAGCGGACGGCAGAAGCTAGCAGCGGCGACACCGACATTTCACACAGCAGCAGCGGCAGCTAGCTACAATGAATCTTGGAGGCGCATGTCCGAGGCTACTAGAGGCATTCAATCAGAGCGCAAAGGGATACGTACGTACGGCCATTCAATCGCAACCCTCAAAATTTATTTCGAGGTTATTGGCTATACGACCCTAACAAATGATGCAATGCGGATTCGGCTCGCAGCCACACTGTTGCGAGGCCCGGCGCTCGAGTGGATTTACAACAGTAACGAGATCCGAGGCGAGGATCGTGGTTGCAGTTTCGGGCAGCTTTAATCCAACGTTTCGAACCGATAAATTCGAGGTACATGGCGCGGCAGCAGATTCACCGTCATCGACAATTCGGCAGTGTGACGTAGTACACGCAGCAGATGGAGAATCTTTTTAACAAAATCAACGACCTAACCGAAGGCGAAAATATCCAAGCGTACACTGAGGGGCTAAAAAAACAAATTCCGCCGACAGGTGATCGCATCGAACTACAGTAACTACCGCGACATGGTATGCGCAGCCGAACGATTCGATGCGTTGACTCGAGGCCAACCCGACACAACAACGCAACGTGCCGAACATGAATTTTGGCACGGAGCGATCGGCACCCCCCACGACTGCCGGCCCGATGGATATCGACAAAATCGACGCGAAGTAGCAGCTGGCGGAATCTGAGAAATGTGAATTTTGCGGCGCAGCCGGATATCGAATCCTGGCGTGTTGGAAAATGAAAAAGGCACGTGCGGAGCTGAAGGGCAACAACAGTGCAGCACCCCCTAAGTAAAAAAATGAGAATCGCCAGTAGCCGCGGATTGAGCTGGCGATCGCGAAAAGATATGGAAAAAAAGGGAAAAGGGCGACGACGTGGCGACTTCGGAGCGGGCGAAAAAGAGGAGGAAATCTTGACGCGAATTTAAAACGTCACGACCGGCCTTCAACAGGGGAAATCGCCGAGATGAAGGGAGACTCCACAAATAAAGACTCTGCACCGACCGGGAAACTCCAGCCGAACACCCCCGAGAGTAATAATTCGTTAAAGTTATTCTGTAAAGATACATTAACTAAGAATACTACTTCTCGTGGTTTTCAAGCCTTTGAAAAAATAAGGGGAGAATTAGAGGCTAAGAAAAAGCCTTTATAGATTATTCAGGTACCTGAGAAGTTGGGGAAAACAACTACGGAAAGTTGAAAAGGGTTGTGCGTTCAGAGGAGTTAATATTCTCTCCCCGCAGCACCGTGTTAAGGGCTCCCCATTTCCCATCGGTGAAGCCTAAACAACTGCAAAGGCTTAGGGGAAGGTTCCAGGCTCAGGAGAAGTTGTACAAGCCTCGGGAAAAATCCTTCTACCCCCCAAGTGAAGTCAGAAGTAAAGAGTGTTGAGTCAGGTATAGGAAATAGGGATATTGATTATTTTTATGTAGCCTATGATCCTATTAACGAGACTATATTTGGCTACTCAGCGCAGCCGAAACCACTCCTGCTCGAGGTGCTCTTCAAAGGGCGTCGCCTCAAAGCATTGGTGGACACTGGTGCGTCCCACTCAGTGTGTGACTGTGGGACGTTGGAGAAAATTGGAGAGTTCTTGGAAAGAGACCAAGTTTACAGCAACGAGGGTGGACTGTACGAAGCTTCCCATCCACGGCGATGTCAACATTGCAGCTGCACATAGGTGCGTTGAGGTGGAAACCGATGTTGCA